TAAAAACAATTTTAGCGGGCCGCGCTTGAAACAAATTCGAACTCGTTCAAAAAGGAAGGGCTTCGGCAGGGGGCATTTCTTTGATTTTGCTGTTGCAGGCCCGCCTCCAGTCCTCAGGTCGAGGAAGCAGCGCCGCCATGCTCCATTGCCTTCGTCTTCTTCATGAGCAGCGCCAACCTCCCCCTCCTCCGGTCACCATCGACGAACGTCAGAGCTACTACCATCGCCGACTTCGATCGCCCTCTTCCGCGCCAGGTGGGTCTCCACCACTGTCAGGCCTCCTGCTCTCCCTCGAACTCGCGTCCCCCACCTCCCCCTCCTCTCGTCATCCTCCTCTCCTTCTGCTCGTCCTCATCTCTTCTCCTCCTCGTCAGTTATCGTTCTTTTTTTGTATGGGAACTTGGTATGTCCTCGTGACCTCCTGCACCTCATCACGTCCTCCTCCAGATCTCCTCCTCGCCTCCACCAGTGCTCATCCTCCTCGTCACGTCCTCCTCATGGAAACTTCGAACTGCGAGCGTATCTCCTCGTCACCTGCTCCCCCTCCTCGTCACCTCCTCTCTCCTCGTCGTCACCTCCACCAGTCCTTTTCATGTCCTCCTCCTCGTCACCTTCTTCATCATCTCGTCGGCACCTTTTTTTCTATATATGGAATCTTGGAACTGGGACGGCCTCTCTCCTCCTCTCAGTCCCGACGTCCTCATCTCTACTCCTCTTAACCTGCTCCTCATCCTCTGTTTCTCCTCCTCCTCACTTTCTCCTCGTCACCTTCTCCTCCATGTCTCATCATCTGGCCTTCTGCACCTCTCCTCCTCCTCATCCTCCTCCATCCCTCCTCATCGTCAAAGGTCTCGTCACCATTTCTATGTATGAAGTTCAAGCTGCGACGATATCTCCTCCTTGTTTTTGTCGTCCTCCTCCTCCATCTCTCCTCGTCACCCTCCCCCATCACTCCTCGTCCATCTTCCCCCCTCCTCTCAATCTCTCCTCCTCCACCGACTTGTTTTTTTTCATGGAAACTAAAACTTTGATGTCCGAACCGTGATGCCATCTCCTCCCCCTTGTCACGTCCTCATCCTCCTCACCTCTCCCTCACATACTCATCCTCACCTCCCCCTCCTCATCTTCCTCCATCTCTCCTCCTCCTTGTCACGGCCTCGTCACTTTGTTTTTATTTGGTTTCATGGAAACTCTTGAACTTCTATGGTATCTACTTCTCGCCATGCCATCGTCGTCGTCTTCCTCATCCATCTCTCCTCCTCCATCTCCTCCTCTTCCTCCTCCATCTCTCCTCCTCCATCTCTCCGCCTTTACCTCATCTCCTCCCCGTCACAGCCTCCTCACTCTATTTCTTTTATAATGAAACTTTGAAGTTTGAGATCCGATGGTATCTCCTCCTCCTTGTTACGTCCTTCTCCTCCGATGGTATCTCCTCCTTGTTACGTAGTCGTCCTCCTCCTCCATCTCTCGTCGTCCATCTTTCTCCTCCATCTCTCCTCGTCCACCTCTCACCCTCCTTGTCACGGCCTCGTCACGTTCGTTTTCCACTCCTTGTCCTCCTCTTATCTCTCCTCCTCCATCTCTCCTCTCATACTCCTCGACATCCTCCATCTCTTATCTTCCTTGTCATGGCGTTTTGCTTCTTTTTCCTTCATGGAGATTTGGAAAAGCATTTGTTTCCGTTTCTGATAGGCGATTAATTGCCTTTTTTTTGTGTGTCTGATTTGGAAAAGCCATGAACTGAATGAAGTGTTATTTTCGTGGGGTTTTAGGTGGTTAGGGGGCCAAGAGGGGCTGGAACAAGGCGTATTTCATGAGGTTGCAGAGGGCAAGCAGACTAGGAGGAGGGGGTTGGTGAGGGGTGGATGTGTTCTTCGAAGTGAATTCAGGACTGATTCCGTGGTTTCTCTTCTGCGGTTTTGTGCAGGGGTCACGATAACAAGACTCGAGTACAGCACCGTTTTGATCAGCGGCATTGCCATGAAGACGGGGTTACATGCCAGCAACGGTGCAAATGATGATCGGCAAGTATTGCGACAACAGATTCTCAGGCACCCTGAACCGTGTTCCGATGGGGAAATGTAGGATGGCAAAGAGCAAAAAGGAATTGACGGACGAAGAAAAAAATGCGGAAGGAGGGGTTGAGGCGATCCATGTGACAATGGCCAATGATGGCCGCAGCAGTCTTCCTAGTGTGTCCAGTCTGGTCTCTGCATCAACACGTGTGGCAAATGTGGGTGCGAATAGAGGAAAGGTGACTGGTGCACCCAACAAGTCCTTGCCGTGCTTACAAAATTACCAAAAAAAAAAAAAAAAAATTCGCGCAGGACCAAACGGCGGAGTGGACATCTCCACACAGGTCGCATGCGAAACCGTACTGGATGGGAAATGGCTGCACCGGACAGTTCGCGGCCCCATGCGGTGCGCGAACGGGCCTGTACTGAGGTTGGGTACGTATCAGACCAGACCCCGTACAGCGCATCGGACGGTGCAGCATGCCGTGCGGTTGCAAGTATGCAACAAATCCATGTGATGGTCGCATTTGCGCACCACAAGTCTGGCTGAGGCACCCCCAAACACGTTGCATGGTGATTAACATCTCATAACACAGGTCCCTACAACGGGCATTCTGTTCCAGGAATAGCATAGCTCCACTGGAAAATTTATAGTACCACAATCTGTCAAATCCATCGTAGAACACCTGTTCCATCTTCGTTACACTGGCAAATTCCTAGTAATTAGATGACCTACTCTGGTTGTCCTCGCATAAAAATACAATCGATGATGCAAACCTCTCTCTCTCTGTGTGTGTGTGTGTGTGTGTGTGTGTGTGTGTGTGTGTGTGTGTGTGCCTGTGTGCCTGTGTGTGTGTGCATGTGTGTGTGTTGTGAATGTTCACCACAACATCCCCTGTTCCACCCACATGAGTAGATCCGAAATCGCAGCACCTACAGCTTATAAGTCATAAAAATATTTGTGTTAATAATCAAATTATCCTTCGGCCTAGCTTTCAAGTTTCCAGTGGTGATCTTATTTCTATTCAACAAAATTGCAAGTCAACCATCAAACAAAATATAAGATATAACCGAATTTTTTGTAGAAGATGAAGCATGGTCCGTGTGTGTGTGTGTACGTGTCTGCCTCCGTCTCCCCCCTCTGCCCACTTCATCCCCCACCTTCGGGCACGTGCGATGGGTGAAAAAGAAAGAAAACAACGAGAGCCAAAAGATGAGGAAGCTAGTGGGCAACAGTGGGGGGTAGCAGGTGGCCAGCGAAAGAGGGAGGTTGGAAGGTGGGGAAGATGATAGGAGGTTGAGCACAGCCTGTGATGGCGGGAGTGGGCATTCTCTCTCTCTCTCTCTCTCTCTCTCTCTCTCTCTCTCTCTCTCTCTCTCTCTCTCTCTCTCTCTCTCTCTCTCTCTC